AGAGATCGTCGATCCCAGAAAATTGTGGAAACTCAGCTTTCACTTCGCTATCTCTCTTTCACTTTATTTGGATTTAATCTAAATTCTCTAGAGAGAGAAAGAGAGATTGAGGTTTAACGACGGAACCGTCACTGACGGAGAACGGGGTGAGAGAGAGGATCCGGCAAGGGCGAAACCGTCACTTCATATATACAGTACCAACTTGAGATTTTCCGGTTTAAAGCAAAATTAGTGATTTAATTGTTTGAAACATAGATAATCCCACTAAAACCATATCCGAAACAAAAAAATGAACAAAATCCGGTTTATTGATGTGTTTTGAACCAAACCGAATCTCTAAAACCAAACCAAAGCAGAGTGATCCAAAAACAATTGGTAAGGCTTTTCTTCTCCTTTTCGCTTTTAATGGCTTCTACAGACAAAATCATCATCTTACAATGTTACATATATTATGTAATGAATGCTTCTCTCTGTTCAGTTTACTAATTTGGAGATTGATTCTTGTCGCCAGACACATTACACTTAGGTCGCAGGTGTGCCTAATTCAGACAAAATGTTGTTCATGTCTTCAAAATATGGCCAACTCGTCTTGCTTCTTTCATCAGCTTTGCACTCCTGCAAAAAAACCGTATACAAACAATCTCTCACAATCACACATCTAAAGCTTTTGATCTTGATCTTGTAAACATGTACATCAATATCAACAGCTAAGTTAAGAGACGAACCTCGTATTTCTGAACAAGAGATGCCCAGAGAGATTTGCATTGTCCCGGGCTTCGATTGATTCCTTCGTTCGATAGATTTGAAGAGATCTCTTCCCACAAAGCCATTCTACCTTTCACCACTTGAAATCTGCTGTGCAACTCTCCGCGCCTTCGGATTACTTTCTTAATTTCCTCGGGTTTCCATTTGTTCCTCTTCACGCGTTTTGACGATGACTTGGTTTGAGAATCTGAAGCATCAGATGGACCATCATCATCTTTGCTGCTTTCGATATCCTCTGCTTTAGGCTCTGCATCAGTTACCTTGTTCGCGTTATCGGTTTCACCAGGTGAAGGTGGCGATGATGGATTGATGAATGATTTCCAAAAATCATCCGATTCTTCTGAAGAACTCCGAAGGGGCACATCATCAGCATCTTCTGTGTAAGAAGAAGCCGAGGTTTCTTCCTCAGCCAGTAGTCTTGCACTATCAATAAGATCATCTGCATGAGTGAAACAGGTTAGATTACATATCGAAACCCCGAGCATACACCTAAAAATGTGAATGCGACAGGACCTTCCAAAGTGCGATCTACTTCTTTTGGGGGATCTTCTTGTGAAGGTGCCTTGTTTGGTCGATTTCTTTTGTTATTTCCTTCAACAACTTTCCTTAAAGCTGCAACTCCAGAGCCAAGATTTGGATCACCTGATAGCCTTGCGCTGAGCTCATCAGCGCGAACAGCCATTGGATTTTCTGTGGCTATAGCAATGACTTCAGGCCTTTTGCCACTGTACTTCCTCACAATCTTCCTCAGAACTTCCGAGACTGTTCTTTCGATATGAGACAAGGGACAATTCACAGGACAACTTGATAGAGAGGCATGAGCTGCTTTGTGAAGTGCATCTAAAAGTCTTCCTTTGTCAAGCCACATGCACCGCGTTGTGATTCTTATTTTTCCTTTTATAGTGTTTTCCGAGACTCCAGGGCGCATGATTTCCATGCTGTATTATAGAAAATCATACAAGAAAAGAGTCATTATTAAAAAAAGGCTACATAGAATGAATTGGCACAGAATTTTTGTTTTGAAACCAAAATCTTACAAATTCGGACATATACCTGAGAACTATAATGCCATCAGATGCAATTCTGAGTCTCTCATCAATGCACAGTTCGCTTGATGTGCCAAATGCTTTATCGCCATCGCTATACATTAACTGCAAGAAGGCTATTATTCAGTATCTACTCTAAGTCAATCACCCAAGACAAGAAGAATATAAGAGTGACAATGAACTAACCTGCAAATTCTCCCTCCCAAGAAAGCTAAATCCATTGGACAAAACCCTTCTATTTCTCAAGTGAGAAACTCCAAGCATCTCTCCATTCTTGATAACCTGAAGTTGGAGAAAAAAAAAAGTGAAAACATTCAGCAAAAGCTCATCTAGGCTCAATTACCAGACAAACCAGGGTTGATTTTCTAATTTTCATAGATAATGAACGGATCCTTCTAAGTTCTAATGATTTCATATACAATTAATGCGGAAACTCCCAAGATTTTTATGCCTAATTTTAATCTGAACATGTTTGAGAAATTCCTTTTTTTCACAGTAGAGTTGCCTATTTACAGATTTCACACCTGTTATGTGAGTTGTGAACCTATTTCATCAAACTCATCACGGAAGTCGCATAACTTTCATAAAATCTTCATAATCGATTATGTTGAATGCTATCTGTCTGCCATGATTTCATATGAGAGACTTACAGTAGTGTGTCGAATCCCAGTAGACTTCCCAAGCAATTCATGCTCCTTAAGAAACAAAAGTTCTCCATGTATGGGTAGAAAATGTTGCGGTTTCACTATTTTAAGAACCTCTTCCTGCAAAACAAGGAAAATTTAAAAATCAGTTGGATAAAACATTTTCCCTAGACATTCATCAATCTGCAAAAGTATCAAAATGAATTAAATATTTACTTTATTCCTTTACATATGCGCGATAATCTTAAAATTGGTGGAAGTGAGAACAAAAAGAAATGCAAAGCTGGTAACAAAACTTAGATCTATCAACACAATCAGCCGCTTACCAATTCTCCACGGTAGGCATGACCAGATGTGTGGAGCATTTCATTTTTACCCATGATAATATTTGGACCGATATCCGCTATCCGATTCATCATTTTCATTACTCGTGATTCATTGCCTGGGATAACCTTGAGTAAAGCATTAGACCGAGAATAGATGTCAGCGATCCCATGTTCCATCTTATTAAATGCTCATATATATGTAAATTTTCATATAACATCTTTCTACTACCTTAGCTGAGTAAAGAATTATGTCTTCCTTAGTAAGTTTGAACGCGTGACTACTTCCATATGATGCAAGATTCAAGGCGGCGCGTGGTTCTGCCTGATCAGAGTCATTGTCAAATAAGGTTGACAGGTAAATTAGATAGGAAAGTCGAATTAAAAACACATCCTCAATCTGACAAGATTAACTTACTTGTGATCCAGTCGTGACAATCAGCAAGTCCTTAGGAGCATATGCTTCAATGTCTTCTACTTTCACCTGCGTACCATTTTTTTGAAAGGATGAAGATAAACTGAAATTAGAAAACAGTTTTTGTATAATCATCAAAGTCACACATGGCAGAGGTTAGCCCTTTGTATTTTGAAGACAAACTGTATGCATCACTAAAGTCTAGTACCCGTAAGGATCTCTTCAAATTTATCATGCAACAGAGTATAAGAGAAAGGTCTTATACCAGAGTTGATGGGTCAATTGGAGCCTTTCCATCCCTCCAAGCTGCTTCTAGATATGTCCTCAAGGACATGCCAACAAAGACCTAGAGAACAAAAGAAAACAAAGAAATGAAATTATGGAATTGACGTGAGGGAAAATTGACGTGAAATAGAAAGGTAGAAGCTGAAATCTATGGACAAAATTGCTAGCAGAAGTTTAAAAATTATCCAGAATTATGATGGAATATATGGCAATATTCAAAGCTAAAAACATGAGAGGCAAAACATACCAACTTTCGACCAGTTAAATCAGCAGCAGCTTTTACACTTCCCAAACGGTGTATATTGGAGGCAAACTGCGTTGTGATAACTCTTCCCTTGGCCGCCATTACATTCCTTACTAGAGCATCTGCTACCACCTTTTCACTAATTGTCCTTCCCGGTGATAACACATTTGTTGAGTCACTCATCATCTGTGTAAGAGTGAAACAATTTCAACCATAGTTTATATATGCTTTCAACACATGATATGAAGATGACACTGCACAAAATCCTTACCAACGTGATTCCTTCCTTTGAGATTTCCTCTAAAGCTTCACGATCAAACACTTTTCCATCCAATGGTGCTTCATCAATCTGTTGTTAATTAAATTATCTCATGCACCTTGAGGGCTATACAAAATGACATGAAAGAGTTTATAAGGCAGTTGCTCTACCTTCCAATCTCCAGTGTGAAGAATATTGCCATCAGCGCAACGGAGTACTAAACCACTACAATCAGGAATAGAATGGGTAACTGTAATAGGCTCTATTTCAAATGGTCCAGCCATAAA